ATCCAAGCATGCTATTTAGAGATCTCTAATACATATGTTATACAAGAGTAAGGTTGGGTTCAACCCCAGCACTAACACTTTCTAGCTGTGTGACTCACAGAGGTTCAGTATTTTGTCTCAAGTTTAGTTGCTTGCCCGTAAAATGAGGTTAACAGCATTCACTTCAAAAGCCTTTTGCAAGGATTAAATGACAATTCACATAAAGTTGTTAGCACTGGTGACTGGCTAAATTTAAAAAATGCTATTATAATAAATGTTTTCATTACTGTGACTACTATATGAACCTTTAATTCTTCAAATCCTTTGAGAAAAGTTGGGGTACAGATAAGTAAAACATATGGTTAAGTACTTAATGAATATTTGGAAGCCCTATTCTGTGGTTCACAGCTACTTTTGCATGGTTGTGTGTATTTCTGAAGCGCAGTGTTTTTTGTTATTTTGTTTTAAATAAAATTTATATTTTAGATGAGAACAGGTGCATTCAGGGTTATGGCCATAGACAAATTTATATTTTAGAAAACCATTAAATTTATAGAAAAGTAGAAAAGATAGCATAGAGAGCTCCTACAACTCCTTGACTAGTCAATGTTTTCTTTTTACATTACTGTGGTAGACTGGTCAAAATGAAGAAACCAACATTAATACATTCATATTAACTAAACTCCAGACTTTGGTAACTTAAACTTTAAAATTAGCTTAACTAGTCTCAGGTTCCAAATAACTGTTACATCTCCAAATATAAAACTATCTCTGAAAAATATGACAAGGACTGGTAGCTGTCCTCTGATACCTATTTCTCTTTCTCCTTTAATAGTAAAGTTTTTTTTTTTTTGGTACCAGGGATCGAACTCGGGTTCTTGCGCTTGCGCAGCAGGCGGCGAAACCACTGAGCTAAATCCCCGGCGCTCTTTTTTTTTTTTTTGATACCGGAGATTGAACTCGGGACCTTGTGCTTGTAAGGCAGGCAGCAGAACCACTGAGCTAAATCCCCAGCCCAATAGTAAAGTTTTGAATTTTAGGTGAGCAGCCACCCTAATCAGTTTTCTAGGTTTCTTTGCAGTTAGGCCGCCAAGTGACTGAACTCTGGCCAAAAGGAATGAGTGAAAAGTATGTATGCATTATTTCCAGTTAATGACTCTCACATGGTGGGGATATGTATGCTCTGCTCTGCTTCTCTTTCTGTCCCCTTATTACTGCTAAGGACTTGATGACAGCAACTGATAAAGCCTCATGGAGGGAAAATAGAAGCCACACGTTGAGGACTTCTGGAACTTCTACTTTTGGATAATTACATAAGAGACAAATATTACCTTATGCTGAAGCATTGTGTTAACCTGTGTCTTAAGTAATACAAAGGACTAAAAACTTGCTACCCCTCAGGCTATTTAAAAGAATGTGCCATTGCCTCAAAAGGTAATTTCTTTTGTTCAAAAATATGCTTGTACATCTAAGTTTTGATATGCTTTTTTTCTCTATTCAAATCTTCCACATCTCTTCCCCTCTCTTCAATGTGAGTTACTACAAACAAATTGTTCAAGGTTCAGTATGAGGCCAGTCTTGCCATTTGAGTGCTGGATGCCATCCTCTTATCTACTTAAGGACCCCATTCTTCCAACAGTCCCTTTTCCCTGCAATGACAAATATTCCATAACATTCCCATCTTGAAATACAAAACAAGCTCCATCTTCAATCCTACATCTGTCTCCAGCTACATGTAACACTGTTCCCTTCAAGCTACACATCAAGAATTATCTGTCTTACAATGTCTCCACTTCAGGTTCTTCTCATTCTCTGTACAACCTACTCCAACCACACAGTTGGCCCTACTGTTTTACTGAAGCTGCTCTTACCAAAATCTCTAAAAATCTTTATTATTCCTAAACCCAGTAGTAAATACCAAATTCTCATTTTATCTTATCACAAAATGACTACATTTTCCTCCTACCTTTGAAACATCTTTTCTACTTGTTTTCCAGCATACAATTTTCCTCCCTGGCTGCTCTGTTAGCTTCCTGCGCTACACCTTCCCTCTCTTTATGACTGTTAACACTGGAGTGCCCAAAAGTTTTGTTCTCACCCTTCATTATGATTTTAACATAGATAAGAAAATTATTGATTATAAGACAAAATATAAGCATGATAAACCTTGACAATGTAATAATAGAATAATTATCAGATAGCAAATATAAAAGGGGAGGTGTAAAAAGAATGAATGTTAATTTCTTTCATAGTGGGGAGTCTAAAAATATAATTCTAACTTGTTAATGGTTTTCATATATTACTTATTTATTATTAGAGAGGTCTTTAAAGAAACAATCTCTTATGGTACAAGTATTCTAATGTTTTACAATTGGTTTTCCTTCTGTTTAAGTAAATTTAAACATAATGGTTTTTTATTAAAAATGGCATGTCAAGCCTGGTGTGGTGGTGCATGCCTGTAATCCCAGCACTCAGGAGGCTGAGGCAGGAGGATTGCCACGAGTTTGAGGCCTGCCTGGGCTACACAGTGAGTACAAGACCAGCCTGTACCACATAGTAAGACCTTGTCTCAAAAAACTAAAAAAGAAAAAAAAGGGCATGTCAATCACAAAATAACAGATATCATTCTAACCATTTTAAGCAGAAGAGAATTAGGACAAGGAATTAGGCAAGGGCTGTTTGAGGTTGGGTCTCCATGAATGACTCCTGAAACATATGGTAAAACTGGTCACTGTCCAAAAACTGCTTCTAGAAACAAATTGTATTAGCTGTTGCTATCATCTGGATCTCGACTGTCCTTCAAAATCCCAAGTGTTAAAAGCTTGGTTCTCAGAGTGGCGCTATTGGGAGTGGTGGAAACTTTGAGAGGTGTGGCCTTGCAGGAGGTCCTTAAACCGGTGCCATTGCCCTATGAAGGGGACTGTGAGACTCTGGCACCTTCTTCTTTCTCCATCTCCTGACTCAGGATGTGAGTGGTTTTGCTTTGTTTCCCACTCTTACCTTTCACAGGCCCAAAGCAACAAAGCTAATCATCAAGGACTGGAACCTCCAAACTGTGAACCAAAATACACTTTTCTTCTTTTAAGTTGGTATCTCAGGTATTTTTTACAGTGACAGAAAGCCAACTAACACAGCTATAATCCAGGGATTACCAATGATGTTGTGTGAGTTCAATCCAAACCAGCAAAATGGATGACTTGAATAATAATACCACCTCTCCCTCCATTTAACTTAGCACTAAATTTAAGAAGTGAAAGTAAATCTGATTTAGCAGAAAGACTAAATCTGGTTGGTGGAACCTAAAGTCATACTCAGAATTCCAGCAACAAAGGATTCCGAGAATCCTTTTTAGGTCTCTTTACAGAAAAATGTATATCACATATATCTCCAAAACAGATGTTATGTCAGTCTATTTCTATGTTCACTGTCACTACCTAGCCCAAAACCCTTATTCCATTTCTCATCTCGACTGTTGCCAGCCTCTAGACTTCCTGCTTCCACTTTACCTAAGGAAGGGATTCTCAATGCTCTATGAATAAGACATAAACGCCTTATCACATAGTCTATAAAGCCCTACAGGATATTATCTTCTTTTTCCCATTTCTGACTACTCTCTTTTCCTGTTCCTCATTGATCATTATATTCTCTAACACCAATAGAAATACATATAAAGCATTCACTTACATTTTTTTCATGTCTTTTGTTCGACTGTCACTTTACCAGAAATGCATCTCTTGACCAACCTATTAAAGATAGTGTCAAACCTGATATCTCCCTTTTTTACCCTGCTCAGTAACATTAGAAAAAATGTAAATTAAATCATGAGATACCACTACAAGTCCATCAGAATTACTAAAAATTAAAAGATAAACCAAAACAATCTTTAAAGAAGAGAACTAAATTGGAGGCTTATCCAACTGGACTGCAATGCTACTATAAAGCTAAAGTAAGCAAGCTAATGTGGTAATGGCATAAAAGCTGACACTGATGAAACAGAATAGCAAAGCCCATACATCATACGTATATACTCACTTGATTTTCCATAAAGAAACCAAAACAATTCAGTGGAAAAGAAAAATCTTTTTTATGTAATGTTAGCTTGCCTGAAAAACTGTATCTATTTTAAAAAGTTAGCTTCAACCCTTACCTACCTCACATCATACAAAAATTAATTCAAGATGGAACAGAGGCCCTCAATGAAAAAACAAGCTTTTAGAGGAAAACATAAAAAAAAATCTTTGTGACCTAAGGGCAATCAAAGTTAGACAGGTCACAGAAACCAAAAAACCATAAAAGAGAAAAAAATTAATGTATTAGACTTTATTAAAGTTAAAAACATGTATGTATCAAGGGACATTATTATGAAAATTAAGATGCAAACCACAGACTTGAAAAATATTTGCTAAAAGACTGGTATCCAGGATATATAAAGAACTGCTACAACTCAATAATTAAAAGACAACCCAATTTTTAAAACATATCCAAAAGCTTTGAAAAGATAATTGATAAAAAATAAAGTATACAAATGGTTAATAAATGCATTCTGAAAATGTTCACCTTTTCATTAGTCATCCAAGAAATGCAATTTAAACCACAATGAGATACTACTCTACACACACAAGCTGAGTAAAATTTAAAAGGTTGACAATACCAGATGTTGACAAAGATATGGCATAAACTTCTTATAAATTGTTGATGGGAATGTAAAGTGGCACATCCACTTTGGAAAGCAGTGTCATAATTCCCTGAAAAGGTTAAACATGTTTGTATTACAGGATTCTGTCTTTATACTTCTCGGTAATAATCTAAGAGAAATGAAATACGTGTATACAAACATTCATACCAGCTGTTTTTGTGATAATTAAAAACAAATACTTGTACACAAATATTCACACCAGCTGTGTGTGGTAACTAAAAACTGGAAATAAGCAAAATGTCTATTAACAGGTGAATGTATAAATTGTGTAATAATGAAAAGAAATGAACTATTGATCATGTAACACATATACTGTGGTTTGGGTGTGTCCCTAGGAATTCACCTGTTAGAAACAATCCTTAAATTCATATGTTAATGGTATTTGGAGGCTGGGCTTTTGGGAGATTTAGGGTTAGATGAAATCATGAAGGTAGGTTCCACATGATACAACTGGCTTTACAAGAAGAAGAGAGAGACCCAAGTTAGCAAACTTACTTTGTCTTGCTATGTGATTTGCAGTAATACCTAGCTATTCTGAATAAAGTCCCTCCTAGCAGAAGGCCCTAACTAGATCTGGACCCTTAACCTTGGTCTCCCAGCTTCCAGGACTATGAGCTAAATAAATCTCTTTTCTTTATAAACTACCCAGTACCCTGCTCATGGTATTTACTTAGAGCAACAGAAAACAAGAGTAAGACAACTGATAAATCGTGAATTATGGAGTAAGAAGCCAGACAAGTTTATATGCCATACAGTTCCATTTATATCAAATTCCAGAAATTGAAAATAAATCTATAGTGACAGAAAGTTGATAAGAGAAGTTACAAATGGGCAAGAAGGTACTTTCAAGAGCAATGAGCATATTCACAATATCTTGACTGGCATGACTATTTTATGTGTGCACATACAAAATATATATAATGTAAACATCAAATTATATAGTGTAAGTATAGTTTATATCTCAATTTAAAGAAAATGAGAATCAATGAAATACTTTAATGCTTTGACTTATAGTCTGTATATTTTAGTACTTGTAATTTCACTACACATTAAATTTATTTTCTTCTTTGATATCTAGTTATTTTAAGATTATTAAAATTATAATAACAGATTAATAATTTAATCATTTAATAAAAAGGTGACATTCTAGTTTCTCAAATAGCTTCTGCATATGCTCAATATTAAGGATGTTAGACATTACTACATTAGTGATACTGTAAGAGGTAAATATCAGTTTTGTAGTTCAATAAGTAAAACAATTATTATATAAGACAATGTATGTCTAGGGCCAGGGATTTAGCTCAGTGGTTTCGCTGCCTGCTGTGCAAGCACAAGGAGCCGAGTTCGATCCCTGGTACCAAAAAAAAAAAAAAAAAAAAAACAATGTTTGCCTGATTTTTTTTTTTTTTTTTTTGGTACCAGGGATCGAACTCAGGTCCTTGCACTTGTGCAGCAGGCGGTGAAACCACTAAGCTAAATCCCCAGCCCAATGCCTGATTTTTAATTAGGCCTTTTACTAATGATTTTCAACCAATAATCAATTAATATACTTTTAAATCCTGGATTTTTGTCCAAGGTTTCCATCTTTCCATTACAAAATACTGCCCTCCTCTCATTAAACTGTATTTTCTAAAATTCAGATGTGCTGTTGAAGGAATAGAATTGCTTTCCCGAAGTTTTCTGAGATGTTTTCATTCTAACTCTAAAATGTTATAAAATATTGTTTAAAAATTCTATTTAATGACAACATATTCTGTCACAATGTTTTAATAAATGGGAATATACAAAATGATTTTAAAGTAATTGATATATTACCTGGCCACATCCAGGGGCAGTGCATAGAAAGGGTTTGTCATCACTCATATTCCACAGGTCCTTGTATTGCCTACAATAAACCATGAAGAAATGGCAAAATACTTTACAACATATATTTTCAGTTCTTAAACTTTTTTAATTGTAAAAACTGCTTTATTTCTTAGTTTTAAAACTATATATTTTAAAATAAAAATATAATTTAAAACATAAACCTCAAGATTTGGTTTATATTAACCTTACTAACTTTCCTATTTGTACAATAAAACACTTGCTCACATTTTAACTCTACCACTTTCTTATGAGAGCAGACAAAAATATGTAACATGCAGATTTTACACTAAAGGAAATAGGTCAGTAAGACTGCCATCAGGCTCTTGTCTGTTCAACAGTGTAAAGAAATTATGGTGAAATGAACAAATTTCACTCATTTAAAAAAATTAAATCAGCGAATAAAATGCAGTCCTTCAAGGATCATACTGTATAGTTCTGGAGATAAGGCAGCAAAATTTTTATCTCCAGTCCTAAATTCTTCTGCACCTGAAGCAGTCCGTAAAATCAAATACATGGGAAAATCTATAGGATAAATTACTCAGTCTTTTCAACAAATAAATGTCATACAGGAAAAAAGAAGAGTAGAAGGGAGAACTATTTCATATTTAAAAAGATTTACTAAATACATTAACCAAAGTATAGTAGACATTTTTGGATCCTGATTCAAGCAAAACAACTATAAAAAGACATTTTCAAATCAAAATTACTTGCTTTTTAATTTCCTTAAGTTCTCAACTATTCCGTCTACAAACTTGGGGTTCTTGCTTTTGCTTTTATTTCTAGAAATTATATATAGCATCTGGTATTTAATTCAATAAACAATTCTGTAACATCTAACTACAGAAGAAAAGTATATGACCAAATAAATTTGGGAGATGCTCAAGTATACTTTTTTGCAGGACTTCTCAGAATCTTTAATATGGTCAAATAAAATGTCTAGGGAAGTCTCAGAACATGACTTTTGGCCACTGCTCATTGAACACTTTTTCATGGAACATCTCCTGGGACTAATTTTATTTGGAATTAAGTGTGTTTTGATGTTCTTAATTTGATAATTTAAAGATACAACAGACGTATTTGGTTAAACCACATATTAGTAAGTGATTTCTTATTTATACAAAGAAAGTAAAATATTTATCTAATAGAAATATACCACAAAAATTTTTATAATTGAAAATATAAAAAATGATTAAATATACCAAATATTATGCATTTACCCGGCAGCTTTCACATGTAACTTGAATTTCATAAGTTGAACAACTTATCATGTCCTCTTTTTCATGGCCAGGATACTGAAAAACAAAATGGCTTCAAACTATTAAAAATAGTTTTGAAACACAGTTGAAAATAGAAGCACTCAATTACTTCCTGTAACACTACAGTCATTCAAAACTCTAGTTACTACTAAGAACATTTATAATAAAGTACTGCTCCAGAAATATGAACACTCATGTAAATGCCCTAACCATAGGTATTAACATATCCAACTCCACCAAAGAGGTTAAACAGAGAAACAATTAATTCAGCCCTTATGGCTATGGTTGAAGGGCAGTGATTAAAAGAGCCAAAATTCTTACTTTTAAAGTCTGAGAAGAAAAACAAGATCTACCATTTCAAAATCTGTACTCCAGAGGGCCGGGGATTTAGCTCAGTGGTTTTGCCCTCTGCTGTACAAGTGCAAGGACCCGAGTTTGATACCCGGTACCAAAAAAAAAAAAATTTGTACTCAAGAAGTTTTGAATTTTTAAAAATGTACTCAATGGCAGTCAGAGTCTCAGCCTCATTTGTCTAAATTTATTTGTCCTGTGCTCGCTTCGGTAGCATATACTAAATTTATTTGACCTAGAATGTAGTTAACCTATTATACAACTCCCCTTTCCACAACTTTACAACTTACTTATTTGATATTAGCTTAATGATGAGTACAGTATATTGAAACTAGCAAGGTCAGAGACCCACTTTTAAACTTTGCCAATAGTTTATATTACTAAAATTCCATCTAGAGGTAAATACAGTAAACTATATTCTAAGTAAGTCAATGGTACATATAAGAAAATTGTATTTCACAACTTTGCTTCTAAGTGTGGTTTTGAGAATGTCTTGCTCAGAAAAATGGATAATTCCTGTGCTGAAATATATAACTAGCCACAGTAGTGAGTCCTATAGTAAAGAGAAACTTGATATAGAATACAGGAAGAAGAAAGTTTCTTCCCTTGCCCCAGGCAAAAGTTAGTATCTGGTAGGGTTCCATTCCTCCATTCAGATCCAAAGCTGCCTGTGAGGAGAGGGAAATGCGCACTAGAATAATACAAAGGAAATCTATAATAATAATTATGCTCCTGTCATTACTAGTAGAATATGAGCACAGTGAAGGCAAAAAAACTACCTGTGGGTTAGCTACCTAAATCAGTGCCTCCCTCATAAAGCTCAAGAGACATTTAAGCATTAACTATTTACAGACACAAAAATAAAAATCAGTAACAGGTGTTAGGCTGCACTCAAAAAACTTTCAATCTAGCTGCAGAAAAAGAAACACAAAATTTCAATTAATATGGTAAGACTATAGAAAACTTAAAATACTATGACAGTACCAGCTAGGCATGGTGGCAAGCGCCGGCAGTCCCAGCACTGGGGAAGCTGAGGCAGGAGGATCACTTGAGCCTAGGTGTTCAGGGCCAGAAGGCTGGGTAATACAATGAGATCCTGTCTCAAAAAACAAAAACAACAAACCCCCCCCAAAAACAAACCACAAAACAACACAAAACACACAAGAGTATAGAGGAAGGGGAAGAACCAATCTAGAACTACAGAAAACATTCTACAAAGTAACTCTTGGTAGCTCTCTCTAATCCTTTCCACACTCTCACTACTACAACTCTTACAAAAGTTCCTTACATACACAACCGATTTCCCAGCCAATCAATACAAACTTCTATCGCCTTATTACTATTTTCTAATACCTAGTTGAGGCAGCTATAAATAGAACAGTTCAACATCTTTGAAACAAATGATAACAATTTCTCTGGGAGGCTGAAGTATTATCCCTTTATTAATCTAATAGAGCCACAAGCCTTTTAATCCAGGTTTATCTTCTTTCTACAGCAAAGTTAGAAATATTTCTATATAACTCATAACAGAAGCCTGCAAAACAGGCTTTGTCACACTGTAAACTGTTGGAGAAATGCAAGACTGCAGATAGAAATTGTTAATATATCACTCCACTCTTTTTTTTTTTTTTGTATCAAGGCTCAAACTCAGGACCTTGCGGTTGCCAGGCAGGCACTGTGCTGCTGAACTAAATCCCCAGCCCTAATCACTCCACTTTTGGGCATGCATCTGTTATATAAGAGTATGCAGGAGAGTTCTAGGTAAAATTTACAAGTCAGCTTTTTTGGTTTCTCTCATCTTTCTTAATTATTCTAAGACGCTTTTATTTTTCTTGTTCTCATGATCTAATGCCATCAAAGTTCCCCTTTCTCTTCTTTTGTCAAAAAATATTTGAGTACTGGGGGTTTAGCTCAGTGGTTTCAGCTCCCGCCTTGCAAGTCCAAGGTCCCGAGTTCGATCCCTGGTACCAAAAAAAAAAAAAATTTGAGTGTCTACTTTGTGCTTGGTCCTCTGCTATGATAAACTTAGAAATATGCCTTCATGGTGCTTTCAAAATAGTGATGGAAGCCAGGCGTGGTGGCACACACCTGTAATCCCAGAACTTGGGAGGCCAAGGTAGGATCATTAGAGTTTGAGGCCAACATAGTGAGTTCAAGGCCAGCCTGAAATACTCAGTGAGACCCTGTCTCAAAAAAACAAAAAAGAGGGTAGGGGATTTAGCTTAGTGGCACCGCACCTGCCTCTCAAGCACAAGGTCCTGAGTTTAACCCCTGGTTCCAGAAAAACAAAAAAACAAAACAATAACAAAAAGACAATGATGGAGCTCACAACTGAAATCAAGGCTTCCAACTCAGACTTTCATTTCGTACAACTCTGAATTAAGAAGCAAAACTCTTAAATGCTGTGAAGACAAGTTTGATTATCCACTGAGTAAATCTTACTAGATTTAACTCTTTAAGGGCTTTATTTAGACTCTGAGAGATACAATCTGAGCCAACTTTTGTTTCTAAACCCACCTCCTGCTAAGTGCTAGTTCCATTACTATAGCCCATTTAAAACTGGAGACTGTCTGCCATCCTTTGAAAATGACCTTCAACTTACATATTCTCATCTTGTATCTAAAATTTGCCCTCTCAGATGAATGTCTGTCTTCGACAGTATACAATCAAGGCTCAGTTCAAATAAGACTTCCTTTGTGATAACCCCCCAACCCAAACTGAAAATTCTTCTACTAAACTTTCCGTGTTGTTTGTACTTTGCTTATAGCAACTATATTGGGCTCTGGAATATAATCCATTACATAATCTCTAAATTTCTTCCTCCCCATCCTAACTATGCCCAAAGAATCATAACCAGGA